GGAAACAATTTTATAGTAAGAGAAAAAGATCCCTGAGATGGGGAAAAGGCCATAAAATGCTCCCAGAAAATATTTGACAATCTTATTAGAGAAGGTGTGAGAACAGGAGAGATTCAGAAGTTGAGAAGGGTCACAAAAGAAACTGGAAATTTCCACACTCTTGAAGTTGGTAATTTTTAAGATCATCAAATTGTGCATCTGGGAGTCCAAAAGGCTGAACAAAAATGAAACGAAAGTTAGGAAACCACAGAGATGAGGGTTCATCATGACCAAATAGTGCAGGGGGTAACAGATGGCTACAAACCGATCATAGGCCATCACACTCAGAAGCATATAATCCATACATCCAAAAATGGTAAAAATAGACATCTGTGTCAGGCAGCCCACATAGGAGATGTCTGTGCTGCGAGTTTGGATGTTCACCAGCATCTTTGGGACCGTGGTGGAGATGAAACCAATGTCAGCCAAGGACAGGTTGGAGAGGAAGAAGTACATGGGGGTGTGGAGGTGGGAGTCAGAGCTGACCGCCAGAATGATGAGCAGGTTTCCAAGCACGGTGACCAGGTACATGGACAGGAACAGTCCAAAGAGGATGGGCTGCAGGTCTGGATCCTGTGAGAGTTCCATTAGATAGAATTCTGATATGTGAGTTAAATTTTGTGCTTTTGTGTTGCTTGGACACCTTTAGAAAAGCAAAGGGTGTAAGGAAAGAAAAAAGAAACCCATCAGCAGGCTCCACTCGCTCTGCATGCATTTGGATTCAGATATTCACTAGGAAGCTGCTCACACTGGAGATCCACACGCCCTCAACATAGGTCTCAGTCCTGAGTCACCCAGGCTTGCACACTCTTTCACTGTTGCTATCTACATCATTTACCCCTCTCTCCACACCCTTTTTCAGACATTGAACTGATCAATGTTAAAAGCCCAGGAGCAGAAAGAATAAGTTTATGTTTGCAGGAAATTATAGCCTACCATTTAATGGGAAATTCAGGAAGAGTAATGTTTTTTATTAAGAAAAAGTAACGTTCATAAACGTTTATTAAGAACCAGCTCAATTTACTTTGTTTTGTTCTAACAAGTTGAGGATAATGAGTCTCAATCAGAAGCATGGTCATGAGCCATTTATCTTCAAAGTGTCTCATCATTTTTTTTCTCATTGCCCTCCTCTGCAGATTAAAGCTTGCTATTTTTTAAGGTATATAATATAATGAAAATTTCCTTGTCTTTGGCACATTTCAAAATCAATAAATATTACTGAGCTAAGTGCACAAAATCAATAGTAACCCTGATCACAAATGTGGCTGAAAGAGATAATATTAAAAACATAAATGATAAAAAATACTTCAAATAGTTTGATTTTATACTGGTTTTTTTGTATGAAACCATACAATTTCAGCAGAATAGCTGGCATGTTGAAGAGCTCTTCACTGTTTTTCTTTCCTTGATTCTGTCCTCCAGCTGACCTGTTAAAACTGCTCCATGGTTTTGTGATCTTAGTCCATCAAGTTTGCAGTTTAAGATTTCATCACAAAAAAAGGCCCAAAGCTCAGCTTTTATTTGTAACCACATTATTTCCCCTTTTTGGACTCTCTGGTCAGGCATTCCTGATGTGCAGATTGTAATTCTCTCAATTAAGCTATGTGAGTGTAACTTGGGTTCATTATTTGTCTCTTCTTGCTGTGATTGATTTTGTCTAAATGTGGGGTAATAATTAACTACCTTGGGTTTTAAAAGTATTTCCAATTACCTAAACTAGTGGCTTTGTCTCAGTTAATGTTATATTAATCTTTGGATATTTTATATTATCCACATACTGTGAAATCAGACCAACACCAGTTTAATCAGGATATCTGCATGTGAAATCCTAGGTGCTTTTTTTCTTACACCAGAGTTGGAAACCACTGCCTGACAAATCTTGGCACTAGAAAAAGCTCCATGAATATTACCTTCTCGTATTTCAATAATACCCACTACCTATGTTAAACTATAGGTATTTGACAATAATTGTTTCAGGACTAACACCGTATAGAGAGATTTCAATAATTACTTCAGAAATTTGAGTTGCTAGTGAGCTAGGGATTTGGGATAAAGAGAGGGGAAATACTGAATCTTAAAGGAAACATCCACAAGCCTTTGAGATGTAGAAAGCACAGTTATAAACCTTGAAAAAACGCCCCTGGCCCATGCCCTTGACTCATGCCCTGGCTCACCTCCTGTCCAGGACCTGATACAGCCCTTCTATAAACATTCAACAGCCAGCCCAAAACAGGGCTTCCCTCAGCCTCAAGACAACCCACATCCTCCCTTGCATGTGTACCTGCCTTCATAAATAAACCTCTGTCCATGCCTCTGTCCATCTCCTGCTGAAATCCTTCTCCATCACATATACCAAGAACCCACTGGTCTGAAGCCGAGGTCCTCCTCTGCCCTGGGAACCCCTTGGACCCATCTCCAGGAGCATCTCTTCCCCTGTGACATTACTATCTCTGCCTGATTCCACTCTCCTGCAAACCTGTGTCCCAAACACACCTACTTCATGAAATGAGCAAGTGTGATTTTCTGTTGATGTTTTTATGACAATATTAATTTATGATCCCATAAAGATTTCCATTAAATATAACCTAAAGGGCACCTAAATCTCCTCTAAGTAGCACAACACAATACCTATTGCCCCAGAAATGCACCATTTACATTAAATTGAGGTGCTAATTCCATTTTTGAAGATCATTCCTCTACTTCAAAATCTTCATCCTACACAAAGGATTACCTGAAGAAAGTGCATTGTTTAACCAGTAAGGTATGACCATCACTTCAAAATTGTTGTTCATCTCTCCATATAACACAAATAAGAATTTCTATATAATACATCAGCAGGGGATAGGGGTGTGATCTCTGAAGTACCATGCATGTCCAAATTTACTCTTTAAGAGCTACATTCACTTACCAATTTAAAAAGTAATAATAATTATAGTTATACTTAATAGTTGGATTTGGTATTTTCACATTATTATGAGTGTATTATAGTTGTACATAATGGTGAGATTCATTGTTACATATTCATACATGCACACAATATAATGGTATAATTTGGCCAGTATCATCCCCTAGTATTTCTCCTTACCCTCCTATCCTCCATCCTACAGTCCCTTTCCTCTGCCATACTGATCTCCCTTTGATTTTTAAAGAGCTTTATCGTTACACATACTAGTTGTGTTTATCCCAGATATAACCATATGCCCATGAAGGGGAACCAGATGTGTAGACTCAAAAGGGTCTTGGCATGCATACTGGCCTAGTTACCAGATGGCCAAATGTGTTGCATGTTTACTGTATTAAGTTTCCTTTTTCTCCAATAGACCAAAATATAGCAATCTTTAGGGTTCAGAGACAGAACATGGGAATTCCCCATTGGAAAAGTTGCCTTACCAGCTGCTGGGACAGTCCCTCAGTCCTTCACGTTACCCAAAGGTACATCTCCTCTGCTTCATCACAAGACAAAGCCACAATGTCCTAGTTCCCCAGCAGTCATTTCTTAATAAGCTCACCAGACACCTGGCATCTTTAGGAGGGAAGGGGGTTGCCTGGAGTGTCATAGCTGCCCAAGAAGACTAGGGTGGGGGCAGCTGTGGGATCCCAGGTGGGTTACCAATCTGTTACCAAATGCTTCATCTTGTCCCCAATACCAATTCAATATTAAAAACAGGGCTTTGAGAAAAAATAAGGATTATTGTTTTGCTATCAAAGGAGAAACACGGAGGAATCTTGTCCTAGAGTCTGTGATTCTCACCTACATCTTCTGTGTCATCAAAACACTGCTGACCATGACATATTCTCTGCATAAAGACTCCTGAAGAAATCTTATCTGGTTTATAGGATATTTCCATGTTGTTCAGGTAAAAGAGAAAGTGCTTGCATTTGAGTTTTAAAAGCAACACTTTTCTTGATATCACAGCCCTGCCAGTGTGTACCCAGTGAGTGAGAATCACTCCACTTCTCCTGGCTCCGACTGCTTAAGGAGAGAGGGAGAACAACACCCAGCTACAAAACATGTGCAGCAGCAAAGGGGAATTTGGAACTCGATAACTGATTGGTCACTGTCACTTTAAATTAAAAGTGTATGATTAGGGAAATGCCAACAGTATTGAGGAAAGAAATTGTCAACAGACCCCAGAGACTCCACAGTGGGAAACTCTGATATGTGCCTCAGAAGAGGGCTTGGGTTTCAGGGGTCCCTTCAGGTCCTACCACATTTTGCTATTTTTCACTTTAGAAAATCTATGTCATGAGTGCTCAAACTCGACTAAGTTAGAGGGAATTAAATAAAAATACATGGTTTCTATGTCCATTACAAGAAACAGAATGATAGTGATTAACTTGCCATGATTTTCATGGGGCATTGCTTCAAAGAATGAAAGTACAGACTGGAAGCAAGAAGTCCATGAATCCAAATTAATTTGGGCCATTTTGGGGAAGAAAGATCAGGTAAATTTAATGTGGAGCAGATCTGTTTTAGATGCCTCCCTGTGCCAAGACAAGCATTAGCCCCAGCGAGTCACAAATAGAAAGAGGGACACCTTCCCAAATACACAGCACACACGTGTGGAGCATCAAAGTTATTATATCCAATCCAGAAATATAAAAATTGTAACTTTGAGTAGGGCATAAATTCTCTGAGTTGCATGAGGATTAACCTAATCACTACTAACAGTAACAATAATATCTAGAGCTTATTTTGCTCAGAAATTTTTCAAAAATTCCACATTATTCCTGTAAGAGCACGGTGTATCTATTTCATCCTTAGTCAATGCAGTTGTATCAGACATAAACCAACTCAGATATCAATGCTGAATCCAGACACTAGTGACTTGCTCCTTCACAGACACAATAAGTGGGACTGAAAGACTCTAAGACCCATCCACTGTGTTTATATTTTCTTCCACGCAACATAAAGTTCTCTACCTATGTCCTAAGGTTTTAAATATAAGGTATACATTTGAGTTCTCTCTATTGATGTAAGAATAAAATAAAATAAGGACATAATATTAAGTTTGTTTTAAGATTAGAGGGCTGTTTTCAAGCATGAAAGGTCATATGGTAAGGTCCAAGGTGGTCCTGGAAGGGGCCCAATAGCATGATCTGTGCTGAATGATCATCAGCCTCCCCTACTGTGACCTCTCCTGTAACATGTGGCCATTCTTACACAATTCACACAGCAGGCACCCGCCCTGCTCTGCCCTGTGATCCCCAGGAATCCCACAAGGAAGAGTACCACAGGCAACGCTGTCTTTCTGCATTGACAGGGAAGAGGAATGGCTCTTGGCTTATTGATGGGACAGCCTGCCAGGATTCTCCTGTGATGCCCTGTGTCCATGATCAGAAAGCCCAATGCAAACATGCCGCAATCTTTCCTACCTAACAAACAAGAGCAATTTGCATGATTATAAAGTTACTTTTTTACTGTAAAATAATGATAAATGGGGCATGCATTTTCAGAGTGGGCAATGCACAAAAAATGAAAGTGATGATAGAGAAAACAGTGCTCACCCACTGAGACTGGGAGTCCATGGTGCTCTGGTTTCTGG